TCATCGAGCCAGTGCCACTGCATCTACAGGGCAGAGGATTCTATTCCCACTATTTCACTGTTCCGAAGTGGGATGGAGGCATTCGACCAATCTGCAGGCGCTAAACTGCTTTGTGAGCTACCACTGCTTCCGCATGGTGTCTTTGCAGCAGATTCTGCCACTTCTCCAGAAGAATGTCTGGATGGCCACCCTCGACCTCCAAGATGCATACTTCCACCTCACCACCCACCCGTCACACCGCCAATACCTATGCTTCGCAATTGGTCAGCATCACTACCAATATGCAGCCCTGCCGTTCGGCCTTTCAAGTGCACCGAGAGTCTTCACGAAGACGATGGTGGTGGTCGCTGCCTTCCTCCGTCTCAAGGATATCTCCATCTACCCGTACATCGACGATTGGCTCATGGTATCGACTTCCAGGGACTCCCTAGTCTCAAACATCAACGAGACGCTAGTCCTCCTGGAAAACCTGGGTCTGCAAGTAAATCTGGAAAAGTCTCAACTTCAACCGGTCCAGAAAATACACTACATCGGTGCGCTACTGGACTCCACAAATTGCACAGCCTACCCGCCACAAAACAGAGCAGCCGACATCGTCAACCTAGCCACTGTCATGCGTATCCGGCCTTCAGAGCCTCATGGCTGCTACTACATCAGTCCTGGGTTTTGCCAAATTAAAAATGCGTCACCTGCAACTCTGGTTTATCCGCAATTTCAATCCAGAGCGAGACACACACTCCACCCACCTATTCCCACCTATCAAAGTACGGAACTCTTTACTTTGGTGGACCGTCCCTTCCAACCTATTCCAGGGAGCACCCTTCCATCCTCCATCACCCCAAATTACCCTAACTACAGATGCCTCCCTCTCGGGTTGGGGCGCCCACATGATGAGACTTTGTGTCGGAGGCAGATGGGACACACAGAAACAGAATCGGCACATCAATTTCCTGGAACTGCTTGCGATACAGTTCGCTGTCACCAGTTTCCTGCCCCTGATCAAGGGGAAGTGTGTCACGGTCCTCACGGACAATACTACTGCCCTCAGCTATGTGAAAAAGCAAGGGAGCACCATCTCCCAACACCTCTGCGACCTCGCCCTCCGGTTATGGGACTTCTGCATCGTCCACAACATCTTCCTAGTCGCCACGCACATCCCTGGGCACATGAATGTGCAGGCGGACCATCTGAGTCGGGCAGAACTCAGTCTGCACGAGTGGGAAATTAATCCAACTTACCTTCTCCCACTCTTCCGCAGGTGGGGGTTCCCCCAGATAGATGTTTTTGCCACCAGGACGAACAAAACGTGCCCTCTGTTCTGCAGCCGAGGTGGCAGGGACCAACAGTCTCTAGGGGACGGTCTCCTCTACCCGTGGTCCAGAGGATTTCTCTACCTCTTCACTCCACTGCCTCTGCCTATGAGAGTGGTCCGCAAAATTATCAGTGACAGAGCGGACTGCATCCTCATAACCCCGCGGTGGCCGAGGCAACCATGGTTCTCAACCATCCTGGATCTGTCAGCGGGGGTCTACTACCAATTTCCTCTGGCACAAAATCTCCTCTTCCTAACCGAGTGCCCGAGTGCCCTCTCCTGCACCACAACGTGCCACAAATGAAGTTGACAGCTTGGAGAGTAGCGTCAACAGCTTTTCCATCTCCATGGCAAATGTCTTGCTAAACTCCAGAAAGTCCACTACGCGAAAGTCATATCATTACAAGTGGCAAAAATTCTGTTCATCCTTGGGTGAGGATGCCCCTCAAGCCACCTCCGCAGGTCTCGAGAAAGTTCTCGAATTCCTCCTGTCTCTCGCTGACTCGGGACTGTCACATTCCTCGTTAAGGGTTTATTTGGCCGGACTTTCAGCATACCATGTTCAAGTTGAGGGATGCACACTCTTCTAGCATCCACTTTCTAAACGTTTTTTGAAGGGACTGTTGCACCTTTACCCTCCCATCAAAAGTCCTGTCGTCCCCTGGGACCTTCCCCTGGTCCTTCGCCAACTCACCAGGAAACCTTTTGAGCCGCTCGCAACTTGAGACATAAAATTCCTTTCCTTGAAAACAGCCTTTCTGGTCACTGTCACTTCAGCAAGGTGAGTTGGAGAAATACTGGCTTTCAGACATGACACTCCTTACTTGTCATTTTTGCCAGACGGCGTCCGCCTTGTACCTGACATCTCGTTCCTGCCAAAGGTAGTGTCAGAATTTCACCTACAGGCAGAGGTCTTCCTCCCGGATTTCTTCCCGGCTCCGACATCCTCAGAGGAGAGGCTGTTACACACGTTGGATACAAAGCTTGCGCTTCTGTTCTACTTAAACAGAACCCGTCCAACAAGACGTGACTGTCAACTGTTCGTCTCCTATGTGCCAGCAAGGCTGGGAACTCGCATCACGGCTCAGCGTTTGTCAAGGTGGACTGTAGGTCTCATCCGCCTCTGCTACCTTATTGCTAAACAGCCATTGCCTGGCCCTATCAGGGCTCATTCAACCAGAGCTGTTGCAGCCTCAACTGCCTTCCACCAGGGAGTTCCCCTAATGGACATTTGCAGAGCCGCTACATGGGCTACACCTAACACGTTCATAAGGCACTACGCCCTAGATGTCTGAAAGAACTCTCGTACCAACATGGGACGTCACATCTTATCCTCGGCTTCGCAGTAATGACCTGCCAGCACCCTCCTCCAGGTAGGCCACTGCTCGCTAATCTCCCATGGGTGTGAAGCACAGAGACCACGTCGAAGATAAACAGGTTGCATACCTGTAACTGGTGATCTTCGAGTGGTCATCTGTGCATTCACACCACCCGCTCTCCTTCCCCGTTGCTGTCAGCTTCTACATTTTTCATAGGGGTTGATTCGCGACGGTTCAAAGGAACTGGCGGAATGTCCGCGCCCACCCCTCTGGGCATGCGTGGTGGGGTTCCTGCGCATGCCCGAGGTCTGGGCGCGAAAATCCTTTAAAAGAGCTTTCTACAGCACCCGATCGATCCAGCGCGTGCGCACTAGATCCTGTTGTTGTGAATGCACAGATGACCACTCGAAGATCATCAATTACTGGTAAGCAACCTGTTTTTCTTCCCTCTTCATCAATAACATACTCAGTATTCAGTTCAGCAGCAAAGCAGATAACAGCTCCCTCCACTCATTCACTCTCTCTCTCTCTCTCTCTCTCACTCTCTCTCTCTCTTGAATGCACTATCTCAACTTAGTAATGGACTATTCAATGGGGAAAGACTCCATTAAGTGCAGAATTAAGGCATAAGTTTAAAACAATATAAATGTCAAAAAATACAAGTGAATGCAAATGGGAACACCTCCATCTCTCAATGGCTAGCATAGGTACGGCTGCGACAGTCAAATGAATAAAGTCTCTATTGCTAGCCGCTCAAGGTATAACCTCATAATTGTACAAAAGTATATATTTCCCCAACCCCAAAATATTTAACTGTGTGGATTTTAGATAGTCTAAATATGTGGACATGTGTTTCATGGTTATTGTATAACATCAAGTATGTCAATAGAAGTACTACAGGGAATGTTTCTGAGTCTTTAGCTGAAATTCTTATTGGCTTTCAAACTTTTATCTGAAGAACTACAAGACAGCTAGTGTGCTGTACTCAATGGAAGGGGGAGTTGGACTTGGATGGGCAACATCTGGGTTCAAATTCCTGCTCAGCTATGAGTAAGCCTGTTTTACCACCTAGCAGGTATAATATACACTTGACTCACTTTGGGAACAAAGACAGTTTTCAGTCTTTAGATTGTTCCCACACAGCTTGTAAAACCTGATCTGCTATTGCTGTTCTTTCCTAGGTCTAGTGCCATCAATGTGGTGAAGATACTACGAGTCTTGCGAGTGCTCCGACCACTGAGGGCCATCAACAGAGCCAAAGGACTGAAGGTTAGAGGGCATCTCACATATCTATTGCAGCTGATGTGTTAACTTCCTGTGGCTTTACATGGGTTCTTTAGGGCAAATGGAGGAATGAGTGCACCTCCCATTCTGTTTGCTTGCTCAGTCTCCTGATTTAGGTAGCTATTAATATTATTATAATAGCTAGGTAGCTAATAACCAGCACCGTGCTTGCCATTATGATGGGTGGTGTGTTTGTAGGGCCTGGAGAGGGGTGCAGCACATCTCTGTGTTATGCATTCTGACTCTTCCAATTGACTGTTGGGTGAAGGCTGATTATACCCTCAAGGGTGATGTGATTCTTAAATACAGTGCAATATTTTTATCCATAAGACTGCAGCACAACTTTGTCCTGGAGTGCTGCCTATTGACTTCGTCTTGGATAACATAGTGGAAGACATGTGTGTATTCTGGAAGGCATCTCTGTATACTAAGCAGGCTCCCTGGCAGTGTGGATCAGGAAAGCCAGTGTGACAGGCAGAGAATAGGCTTTTCTCCCACCAACACGTTTTCACATTCAAAAACGCTTAGTGGATCTGAGCTGCCTGTTGGCCATTCCTGATCTAGACAAAGGTGGCATATTGTTGTCGGATCCAGTTACTAAAAGGTTTAGCTACAACTGCCTTAGGGTATTAGGTGTCCTTCAACCCCCCCCCCCCCACAAGAGCATGTTTTAAAAACCTGTTGAGAATTTAGGAAAACTAGAAATATCCCAGCAATGGTGAGACAGCTGTGGGTTAACAACAGTGGTTTTGATAAGTGTCTGGACTCTTTATTTACACAAACACAGTATACAGGCAATATAGAGTTTTTCATTCCCAGAGGTACCACATAGGTCTACAGGAAAATTGCAGTCTGACAGGTTTATTGCAATGTATTTGTTTATTTGCGTCAAACCCTGGAAGGTTTACATAACCCCTCTGCTGACTCCCTCTTGACTTCTGTTTGCAGCATGTTGTCCAGTGTGTGTTTGTAGCCATCCGGACTATTGGGAACATTGTGATTGTCACCACGTTGTTGCAGTTCATGTTTGCCTGCATAGGAGTTCAGTTGTTCAAGGTAATACCATGGAACGTGTTTCTTACTTCTTCCTCACTGAATTGTTTAAACTTGGTGCATTTTTATTCCATTCTTCCTCAAAGAAGGTCAGTGGGGCATATATTGACCTCCCCTGTCCATTTTACCTTCACAACATCCCTGTGAGGTAGCTTACACTGAGAGAGAGAGTGACTGGCGCAATGAGGATTTGAACCTGGGTCTCCCAGATTCTAGTAAAACTCTATAGCCACTGCACCACACTACACATGCAGAAATTATTTGAGACTCAGAGGAAAAGGATGGTGAAGTATTGCCTGGAGCACTGCTCTTAGCAGCATCAATCAAAAGTGTTAAAGTGACTGGTTTATTTGCCATAAACTCTGCAAAGCTAATGGACATTCTGGATGTGCTCCTTTAGATGATGTTTAAGAATTAAGGCTGAATGGAAATGATTTTTCAATTTTCTCTTTGCTTTAGTTTAAAAGTGCTTCCATTTTTGGAACGTCTTGAACATTCTGACCATGTTGCAGATGACACTGTCTCTAAGAAGTGTTGAAGTCACTGCCATGGGGAATGTGCAATATGAGTACCGCCACTTTGGATCACATGGGCCCACATTCTCAATCAAACACTCAGGCATCCAAGATGACAACAGCTATCATTGTGAGCACTTCATGAGCAACAAGAATGCTCCCTTGGATATCTCTAGCCTGGAAACCTTTGCTGATGAAACACTGCCTCTGATACAAGCAGCTTTTCTGTCTGTAAGACGAAAGCTACTAGTATCAACTGCTAGAACAGGAATGGCCCCGTGGAAAACAGGGGAGCATTGAATCGTGTCCTCAAGAGTCTGCACAATATATGCCATCATCTTGGATACCTGCATATCTGACAGGGTTGTTGACCCATGAGATGCTGCTTGGAGAAAAAGCTGAGGATAGCTGTAAAAAAGGTACTGAAAAAAGTCGTAAAACATCTCAAAACAAGAAGATTTTTCCAGTTATCTGTTTGCTGAACAGTGATGGGATAAGAGGATGGAACTTCTTGTAGATTAGAAACTGCTGAAATTACAGAAACAGAGAGTAGGGGGTAAACAGACAGTTCTTATAAAGGTGGGAAGTAAGCAGTGGGTTCCATAAAGGTTGGGATTGGGTTTATTTAATTTGTTAATAAATGATCTGGAACTGAGGTGAGCAGTGAGGTGGCCAAGTTTGTAATGAAACAAAATTAGCCAGGATCTTCAAAAATCATAATGAAACATTGTACTTACCTGAAGGTTTCTTCTCTTCAGTGGGGCGAAGGCATCCAGACTGGTCAGGCCACGCCTCCTCTCGCTCCAAGCAGGGCTATGCAAATTTTTTGAGTATGCCTAGTAGGACAGTGCCCGGGTGCCCTTCCAGACATAAAATAGCCTAGACCGCAATAAACTGCACACCACTCTCTGCAATCCTGAACTAAACAAATCAATTTCTTTAATTTAAACACCAACCAAAGAAACAACTTAGTCACGTTTGCTTGTCACCATACATGTTATAACCCCACCATCATTTCCCTTGGTGGCTTAGTATTATTATTATTTATTTTATTTTATTTTTAAACATTTTTTGAACAACCATTGTATAACTTGATATCAAACCTGAAAAAACCGTACTTCCCACAAAATACCAGCGGTGGGTAAACTGGATGCCTTCGCCCCACTGAAGAGAAGAAACCTTCAGGTAAGTACAATGTTTCGTTCTCCTTCAGTGGGGGAAGGCATCCAGACTGGTTATGTATAAAAGCTCAGTCAGGGTGGGTACCGTTTTTTCCACTGCAGCTTTCTGGCTTCCTGACATTTGTCATCAGACACCAAGGTAAAAAAATCAGTAAAGCGCTCCCAGAGCAAGTACTGATAGCAGCCCATGCAAGCGATATAATTTGACGTTTTAATTCCCAAAGCTCCAGCTGAATAAAAACGTCGGCCAAACAAATCCAACTTTTTGCTCTCCTTATCAGAAGGGGTAGCAAGGGTACATTTATTCTTGGATGAGGATGATATGATCATGGAGTTAGGTTTAGGATGGATATGGAGGAATTCAGCCTCCGGCTCTTGGACTTCATACATATGATCCAGGCGCCTGGAAGACACCGAGGCAGAGGATGGTATATCCCATGGGGCTTTCGCTGCCTGAAGAAGGACAGTTGGCATAGGGAGGGCGACTGCCGTGGAGGTGTCGAATTGTACGACGTCGAACACAGCATCCAATACCAAAGGTTGAGGTTGGACAATTGAGAGCCCTAGGGAGTGTGCCATTCGCTTGATCAATTCTCCATATGAAGAGAGGTCTTCTGAGGGAGAAATTGGAAGGTCGTCAGACACCGTAGGTTTGGGGGAAGGGTCCTCTGGTGAACTGGCCCCTTCTGAATCTTTGCCGTCGGAGTAAGAGTCAGAGGATCTGCAAGGCGACTCCTGTGCCAGTACCAAGGCTACGTCATCCGTTTGGGTAAGGGCATCCGATATCGGAGCGGTCTGCGATGGTAAAGCGGGGTTGGGACGGAGAGGAGAGGGCGGGCGACGAGGTTCCTCTGGAGGTTTGGAGAGCGATGCGGAAGGTTTTGATTTACGTTGGGGAGAGCATGAACGGTATGACCCGCAGTCCCAGTCCGACTGTCGCATCGCGTCAGCCATGGCATCGATGTCGACATTGGGTAGGAGCCGAACCAGTATGGCATATGGTGTTGATGGTCCCATGGAGGAGGCAACAGTGGTTCAAAGTAGGTCAGCGAGTGCGGTCTTAACTCCCACCTGGGCGAATAGGAGGGCCTGGGTCTGGAATGACGGTACTCAGGGCATTCTTTCCATCGATATTGAGGCTCCCCATGCAGGGGGGATCTGGATTGAGGACGAGGATAACGAGAGTCCGGTCCAGATCAATCGCTAGCCCAAGAGGAGGGTGATGGTGATCGACCTCTCCGAGGAGATCTGCATGGAACAACCTCCTCAACCTCTGAGGGCGAGACCAAAATGGGTCTAGTGTCCATGGAGACCTCCAATACCAGGGGGTTCAGCTGCCGAATGGGCGAGTCCAGTAACTCAGTAGGAGGTAAAGGTTGTATCACAGGCAGCTCTGGTGCAGGAGGGTGATCGATATTGGGTTGCGCTCGCTGAGAAAGGGGCAATACAGAGCCATTTTGCACGCCGACACCACTCAGTTTGTGAGACTTATGTGCAGTTTTTGTAAGAGAAGACTTCAGAGACTTCTTTTCGTGCTTATCCCTCTCTTTCAAAGCCGGCATAGAGGCGGAGGAAGCCTCGTTCGGCGCTGACCATTTTGAAGAAGGCGGTCTCAGGTCCGATGCCGACTTAGGACAGTGAGGCGGGACCAATGCTAGGGTGCCGACCAACGTTGACGGAGGCACTGTGAGTTGAAAGTCTGGAGGGGTCTCAGCAGACATATTAACATCAGACAAAGGGGCCAATGCGGATTCCCAAAGTGCCACTTGAAGTCTCGCTGCTCTATTCTTCCATGTCTGGTTGGAGAACTTCAAGCAATAGCGACAAGTCTCCAGGAGATGGGTTTCCTCAAGGCAGAAAATACAAAGTGTGTGGCCGTCACGGGGGGCAAGTTTACTGCCACAGCCGACACACGTCTTAAAACTTCCCCACTTTTTGGCCATAAAACAAAAGATTTGGCACAAAAAGAAAGAGAGCCCTCGTGTGAGACGAAAAGAAATTTACGGGGGGGGGGGGGGGAGCCGGCAATCCTCAAAAACAATTTTTTTAAAAGTCTTTGAGTAGAAGGAAGAAGAAGAAATAATGGTCAGGAAAAAAACGGATTAAACAATCCCTCATGAGAGAAAAAACACTTGTTCACCAACCGGCAGAAACAAGCTGTTAACAGCACAGTGGTCAGAAGAGAACTGGCAGGATGTCCGCGCCCCACCCCTTTGGGCATGCGCAGTGGGGTTCCCGCACGTGCCTGGGATGGAGGAGCGAAAATCCCGTTGTGAGCTTTGTATATCACCGATTCGGATCAGCGCAGGCGCATAATCCCATGGGTGTGATGCACAGAGACTACGAAGAAGATCTGTCTGATGGGGGAAGGCTTTGGCCTCTGTGTTTTCTGTGACCATCTGGTTGTGCGCCACATTAAACAGTCTAAATGAACTATTGGTCTGAATGAGCACAGCTGATTTTATGTACCCGTCTCTGAGGCAGAAATTGTACATTGCATGTATCTAGATCTCCCCTATTTAGACTCATGTACCTTTGGATCCCCTGACCTGGATGGCGCAGGCTGGCCCAATCTTGTCAGATCTCAGAAGCTAAGCAGTGTCTACTCTGATTAGTACTTGGATGGAAGACCACCAAGGAAGTCCAGGGTTGCTACAGAGAGGCAAGCAATGGCACATCACCTCTGAATATCTCTTGCCTTGAAAATGCTATGAGGTTGCCATATGTTGCTGTGACTTGACAGCACTTTCCACCACCACTGCATCTGGATCGAGAGATCTCTTATGCTGTCTTGAAGTTTTGGGCCGTGGCATCCTGGGTCCTTTCCGCATTTGCCTGCCACTCCAGATTTTCTCAGTGTTTAAATTCAGGCAATTTAAATCCACAGCAAAACAGCATTCAAATAATCTGGGGCAACAGCAGGCTGAAACCGGTCTAACCACTGAAGGGAGGTAATGTAATGCAGAATGTGGGGAAAACCCAGAATACAAAGAAGGTTGGATTCAATTTTACTGCAGAATGGGGGACGGGGGACAGGACTGGATTAAAAAGGTCAAATTAGATTTTAGTGCAGAATTGCTTGGAGGACACCGCGGTGAACATGGATTAAAAGGAGAGTAGAATTTGGTTTGAACTGCTTACATCATCTATGTTATCTCTATGTTTCTACTATCAAATATACATTTTGTTTATCCCGTATATATGCCAGGATAATGGTATTTTCCTTTAGAATGATGTGTTTCCTTTGAGAGCCAGTGTAGTGTAGTGGTCAGAGGGCTGGACTAGGATCTGGGTGATCCAGGTTTGAATCCCCATTCTGCAATGGAAGTTTACTGAGTGACCTTGATCCAGTCACACAGTCTCAACCTAACCTCCTTCGCAGGTTGGTTGGGAGGGTAAAACGGAAGAGACGACAATGATGTAAGCCCCTTAAGGAGGGACCGTGGCTCAGTGGCAGAGCACCTGCTTGCCATGCAGAAGGTCCCAGGTTCAATCCCTGGCATCTCCCATCAAGTAGTATGTGATGTGAAAGACCTCTGCCTGAGACCCTGGACAGCCACTGCCTGTCTGAGTAGACAGTACTGACCTTCAGGACCAAGGGTCTGATTCAGTATAAGCTTTGTGTGTTCACTTTGGGTCTCCAACTGGGGAGAATGGCAGGGGTATAAATGAAATAAATAAATACAATGCTGAGCTTCCTTCATATTATGTTGGTAAAAAGCACGAGACTTGCCATTTAGGTTAGGATAAGTGGAATGTTCATAAGCCCAAATGCAAAACTGAACAGTCTCCATGTCTCTCAGTGTTATTTGGCAGGTTTCTCCTTTTGACCTTGTAAGGTCTTGATCCTCATAACTTAATGCTGTATTTAACATGGGAAAGAGATCAGAATATATAAAGGCTGAACATAAAGCCAGAAAAGGGACTAACTGAGCTCAATTGATGATTGACTAAAGACAGACTCAAAGCTGATATTTATATATACACTGGAGTGTATTTATACACT